GGGGCTGTGGGGAGGGGGGACGGGGGAGAAACACCCGGCCCCCCCCCCCCCCAGCCACAGACGAGCCGTGTCGCCTTCTGCTGCAGGGACGCCTGGTTCACTCAGTCTCCAGGGGACCACTTAATGGATTTAGCCCTTCGTCCTTCCGTCCCACTTCCTTCATCTCTCAGAATTCCAACAAACAAAACTACAGAATTAGTCGGAATCTGGCAGCGTGTACACAAAGAGGTGTCAGCGTCAGACTCGTCTTTAGCCGTGTTTGGAGACTGGATGTTGATTGTGGTCAAAACATATTGTTGGAGGTATTGGGAAGCAGTGACTTGTAAGTGCGCCCCCTCCTGGTCCTCTGTACTATACAGACATGTTTGCTTTTGATTAAAACTAGACAGTAGCATCAGTAGCAGCAGCCTCACTAGCAGCAGCGTCAGTAGCAGCAGCATCATCGGCGTCAGTAGCATCAGTGTCAGCAGCCTCAGTAGCAGCATCAGAAACGGCTCAGTAGTTTTGTTGAACCGTCTCCTCCCTCTCTCCTCCACCTCTGATGAGATGATCAACTTTAATGAGTCGACTGTTTTCCTCTGACACTCTATTTACTCCTTACATGAACGGAGGCGACGCTCTCTGATTGCGCCGTAATGGACTGCACTTGAAAACAAGCGTGCCGTGTGCTGTGAATTCATTTGTCTGGAGGTGTTCGGATCACGTGTCGCTGCATCTGAAACTTTTGGAGCTGCTCTGTTGTGTGAACGGTCGCTGTCAGAGACCAAAGAGTCGCCCAGGTCTAATTGATTCTAAAGTTGAAAACTCTCCACCAAACTCCAGTTTCAGGATGATGAGAGCAGTTCACACTTAGGTGCATTACCACCACCTACAGGCTGGGTATGAAAGTAGGAACCATAGTGATATAAATTAGATTCCTTCAACACGTCTGTGTTCTCAGAGGGAGTACATGTTGTTTTTATAAAGTTTTATTTAGATTTCCTCCGCTCAGTTAACGGTCAAATCTGTCGTGTGACATTTATTTTTACTAAAGCTCATGTTGTTCTACCTGGTCTAAAGTTTGTTTTTGCTCATCACCAACCTTCTTGTTAAATATTTAACATTTAAGTCTTGGACTTGCCCCCCCTTCAGATGCTCTGAGAGTAACTGAACCAGCCATTTCTTCCTCATCCTGCTCACCTCCTGTTGTTTCCCTCCATAGCTCACTTTTTCCTCCTGCTGGCAGATGGAGAGGAAACACAGAAGATGTCAATAATTTAACCATGCGTGCCCCCCCCCCCAGGCTGTGATACTGCATGTTTTTGTTGACATGTATGTGCCCGTGTACACGGGGCTTCAGGGTTTCGTGTGCTGCTCCTGTTACCCGTGGCGACGCATGAACGAGCCTGTGATTGAAGTCTCCGTCCTCTGTTTGTCCATCGGCTCCAAAAACAGACTTTTTTTTTTACAGCCTCTGAATATTTTTATGTCCCCTCGAATAAATGTTTGAACTTAGCTTCTTATGAAAGGGTGATGATGTCAGTGCGAGGCATCACAGTCTTTACTGCAGCCGTGGAGTGGACTTTTATAGGATTACATTTTTGGGGGGTATAAGAAAATATCGATACACTGAAATATTGCAGTATTTAGTTCTAAAGTATCAAATATACGTGACTGTGGTTCATTTTATTTTTTATTTTTCTTTTATTTCTTCTCTAGTGATTAGTATCGCAGTATTTCACAGTATCGTGTATCGTTGCCACTGTATTGTGATGTGTATCGCGTCAGCCCTGTGTTACATCTGGTACCTTTGAAAGTGGTTCTGAACCAGGATTGGCTCCAGTGGCCACGTGTTGAGAGACCTTTGACCCTGAGGGCTTTCACAGTTTAACATTACTCAGAAACCTGAGTCCAGTCCATTCAGCACTGACATGATGTTCTTATTAAACAGAACCACAGGTCCAGACCGGGCCTGGATTTATGGCCATGTTGGTGGATTTAAATGTATTGTTCAGCTTCAGGTTTCACTGAGTGATTCCAACTGGACCATCGGTCCCACTGATGACTAGTCCCTGGTCACATGACCCCAGCGGGTCGATCAGATGAGTCCTAATGTTTCCCACAGCTTTAATGTGTCACTGAATCAACCGTCAGACTGTAGTCCAATCAGTGATCTATTATTATGGTCTGGACGTGAACCAATCCAGATGTTTCTGTGGCAGAATCAGGATAAATTCATTATTCGTTATTCTTAACATTTTCTGGTGTCTCCTTGTTGACGGAGTGGCTTCATGACGGCGTCAGGATGAAAGTTTGGACCAAAACCATGAAAAACTTTAAATCAGTTAAATAATCTCTGCCCTCAAACTGTTAAAAAATGAGCCCCAACGTTTCATTTCTTTAACTGCCGCCGTCACAGACGTCGCTCTCCAGATTTATGAAGCTGAACTTAAACAAACCAGGATTGTTGGGATGTTGACAGTTTTCACAGAACCTCTGTCCTGGCTGCGACTCAGCAGCGTCTGACTCAGAATTGAAAGTGCGATGCCGCCACTGTTGTGGTTTTATTTGTATTTTTATGGAAGTGTCGAGGCGGGGCTGAGGATTGCTACCATTTCTGTGAGTGTCATTTCAAATAAGGAGCTGCTGTTCTGTCTGCAAACAAAAAAAACACAGAGGAAGAAGAAAAAAAACTATTCCTGTTAACACCAGCAGAGGAAACACACACACACACACACACACACACACTGAAGGCCCCTTGAACAACCATAAATATTGAAGGCTCTCTGTTGGTCTTTTACATAGAGATCTCATTGGAGCCTGAAATTGATTTGAAGTCGACTGAAAGCAGACGCACATTTAGAGCAGCAGACACACAGAGAGGAACAAAGTGGAACAAAGTGGAACAAAGTGGAAGGTTCCTGTGTGAGTTCCTGTCTCCGACTCTGATCAACACTCAAATCATGTCGTTAGTTCTGACGCCTGACTCTGGACATGGAACAAAGTTCTGGAACTGTGTGAACTTTAACAAACATCACCTGGAACTGAACCGTTGGTTCTTCATCCTCTGTGTCTTTTGTTCTGTTATACAGCGCCGCCTGGTGGAAGAAATGTTGTTTTTAAAAGTGTCACTCAGTGTCACTCTGCCTGTTCTTCTCGTCTCCGTCAGCTGGCCATGACTCACCCCAGTCACCACCTCAACTTCGGCATGAACCCCGACCACGCCCGCAACTCTCTGTCCAACTGTGGCATCCGTCAGCCAAAGTACGGCGACAGGAAGGTCCACCACATGTACATGAGGAAGAAAGGTAGGACACGGGTTTTCAGCTGCTCTGTCAGTTCACGCCAGCGATGTGTTGTGTGCAGCCACAGAGGCATTAAAGGCTTCGACAGTCGTCACTGAGGCAGAGAAGAAGATTATTTATTAGTTAAAGTTGTTGGTATGTGATATTTGAGCTCAGTTAAAGACTTAAACAGCAAAACCAGACACTGACATGGGCTTGAGAATGTTGTGCATGTTGTATTCCCTGCTGGTTGTTAGTGGTACTGCAGCTAAAGTGTTCTGAGGTCTAGCTCTTGTACACAGTGTAGTTGTACTTGTCCAGAGTTTATCACTGACTCCGTCCGTCTGTGACTTTGGTTTTCTTCTCAGGAATCAACACGTTGATTAACATCATGTCTCGACTCGGCCAGGAGGACCCCTCCCCATCCAGGTACGTAGGCCCCCTGCAGGCCGGTATCTGCACATACTATCAGTGACCACGGGTGCAATCAAAGGCCCTGATTCTGGTGATTAATCTCCCCCGCAGGCCCGCTGACAAGAAAATTAACTTTAACTGTGAGAGGAAGGGAAATGAAAGGAGCTAATTTTAAAGGGCAGTGCAGAGTTATTATGGGACGAGAGCTGCTGTTAGTCTGAGAGCGCTGATGAAGAGGGCTGCTGTGTTTGTTCTAATGCTCTCTTTCCTTCAACTCCTCCTCCTCAGGATCAATCACAACGAGAGGCTGGAGTTCCTGGGTGATGCCGTGGTCGAGTTCCTCACCAGGTGAGAAAGTGTTCTCTCTAACTTTGATGGACGCGGCCGTTAATTGAAGCTGACTACAACACTATCAGCCTTTCTTAAACCCCTCCTCCTCCCTTGTTCTCCCTCTCACTCCATTTCCTCCTCTTATTGTCTCACGTCCTTCCCTGTCCGTCACCACCAGCCCTCCTCTCCATATTTTGGACAGTGAGTTGCTGGTAATTGGAACTGTTATTCTCTTCCCCTGGCCTGAAATTTTTCATGACAACTTGCAATTAGCTGTCCAGCTCTGCTGTCTGACCCGCTGACGCTGGTATTGACTCCCAGGTGAGAGTGAGCGTCGCAGCTGCTCTTACCTCAGCTCAATGCTAATTATATGTATGTAGCTATTATTAATTGCCCACCTTACTCCGACAAGGTGAGGCGCAGGGCCTGACCCAGCACGTTGTCCGATAATTTACTCTCCACCCTCCTGAGAGCAGGGGGCGCAGCAACAGGGTGGACAGGTTTGAACCGATTTAACCCTCTGTTTACCACAAGAACAACATGCACCGCACTGTTCTGAGGCTGTCCAGCAGGGGTCACCATTATATCACGGTATTTTATGGTAATTACCGCGATCGGAGGAGGGACCACTGTACTGAAATACTATAGGCATGACTATATATTCACACTCACATTCACACCTGTGATCAATTTAGAGCCAACTTTAACCCTAATCTCTAAGATTAACAGGAGGGAATCAAACCGATGACCTTTTGCTGTATGGCCAGAGCGCTGTAACAAGAGAAATATAGGTTAATACATCATACATCAACTGCACACATGCTGCTGCTGTGGTGGTGGGACATAACATGAATCAGTGCTGCCCCCCCCCCCTCCCTCTTTACTGGACCCCCGGCCCCCATTGGTTCCATTTTCCCTGGCTCTTAAAGACTCCACAAACGACCCCCGGGTTTGAAATGTAACCAGAGAAACGGCAGCTCGTGTGTTTTCCTCAGGGTTTGGTTCATGGTCATGTTCACTGAACGAAAACAGCTACGACCAGAATCCGATTTGTAGCCGCGCACGCTAACACTTCCGTGGCAGTGAGCGCCGAGCAGCGGGATTTAAACCCTAATAGAAAGTGACACGGCGGTGCGAGGCGGGGACGGCGGCTGGCCTGAGCGTGTTGTGGTTGCAGTGGGAGTTTCCTCCGGACGTACGGTGTTTTCCAGCTCTCTTCCTCTTTGATTGTTAGCCTGACTCCAGACGTGTTTGGGTCCAGCTCTGAATTATTTATCAGACTCTTGTCCAGTTAAACGGTTACAGCAGGGCAGCAGACCTCGCAGCTCACGCCTGCCGCCCTCTGAGGCTGGGGGGGGGGGGGCAGTGCCAGGGCGAGGATTTCACTTTATACATTTATAAAAATAAATCCAAATGATTTTTATATTGTTACTTTTTTTTTCCACAAAAGTAAGAAATTTAAAACTGACAGGTTTGTTTAACGTCTAAATTTTTTTTTTTTTTTAATCAAACTCTTTATTTTTACTGTTGTGTGTCTTGAATGTGTTGAAAGAACACAAGAGCGCCACCTGCCTCTTCTCCTCTGTCCTCACGGTGATTAAAGAGTGAAATCCAATGACACGCTGCGGTTCAGAGAGACCAGTTCTGTATGAACCACAGCTGTGGAACCAGTCGAGCGTTCAGGTCATTTCTGGACCTGGATGTTCTGGAGGATGAAAGCACGGGTCCTGGAACTAATTAGATCAAGGCAGGACCGGTGACAAAGATGCAAATGGGTCACGTCGTCAGAGGGGAAATTAAAAAGATTTGTTTTGGACTCTCTGTTTTTGGAGATCATTAAAACCAGTACCAGAACATTACCCTGGTACTGTTCCTATGGGTGTATGACGGAACCCTATTCAGTTCCTGGTACTGTGCCTAGTCCAGTCTTCGGTTCCTCCCTGTAGACTCCTTATGTTCTGTCTGAGAACCCAGAACCTGACGTGTCCACTCTCCTCTCCACAGTGTCCACCTCTACTACCTGTTCCCCAGCCTGGAGGAGGGAGGCCTGGCCACGTACAGAACAGCCATCGTCCAGAACCAGCACCTGGCCATGCTCGCTAAGGTAACCCCCCCCACCCCCACACACACACTCCCTAACAAGACCTCCCCCTGCAGGAGGACGGCAGAACAGACCTGACAGGAGAACAGTTTCTTGTTGTTAGAACTGAACTCCTTCTTCTTAAGGAGACGCAGGGGAACAGCGTTCCTGCGTCTCCCCTTCACTCCCCTCCTCGTTTCCTCCTCTCAGCTCTGCTATAATTGGAGATAAAAGCTTGTTGTTCTGAAGGACCAGGAGTGAGCAGGACCCTGGAAGACCCTCCACTGCTCCCCTGCTCCACAGATCTTCACAGCCGTTCTGGTCCTGCCATGTGAAGAAAGAAAGAAAAGCAATTAGAAAATTCTAGAAAGTCTTTGATGAGACGCCCAGCTGAAAACAGACACGTGGTCTCCTCTCAGGGTTTTTGTTGTCGTCGTCGTTCAGCCGTTCCACATTTGTTGGTGGAACTTCTCTGATGCCGTCTGCTCCACGACACTCACAATTATCTTTGGAGAAATATCTCCAGTGCACAGTGGCACAATCCAGCACTCGACTGAGAACACTTTAAAGTCGGAGTCGCTTTCCCCCTTTGGAGCTGGAGTGTTTAAGAATTTGGATTTTTAATTTGCATGTGTGCAGTCGCAGGAGGTGGGATCTCTCCAACTGTTAGCTGCCATAATTAAAACCCACCCTGACTGGGGGTTCTGGGCTGTAATCATCGGTGATGAGCCGCCACTGAAGGTGGGCCGCATCCAAGAGACACGCGGAGAATCTGGGACTGAGGCGATTCCAACATCAGGAACGTTGACGTCACGTGACTGGTTGACTGCTGTGCCTTTGTCAAGGTTGTTTTTACTTTGAGAAGAAAACAACTGCAGTAATAATAATAATTATAATGAGTCATTTGGAGACGCAGCTGCTCTTAGTCAGGATTCTAATCACTTTGTGCTCAAATTGAGCTGAAAAATCCAAATAAAATGAACAAATCATACAATTATGATCACGATAATTCAATAGTTAGAAATTTGTAAACAGCATAAAAGACAAAGTTGTTTTGTCAGAAAGACTGTTTTGACTCTAAACTCAACATGATTGGACCAAAGTCTGGACATGAGAAGACCTCATTGTTCATGGTTCTGATCCAAACCTGTTCTTTTCTCAAACAGAAGCTGGAGTTGGACCGTTTCATGCTTTACGCTCACGGCCCTGATCTGTGCCGGGAGTCGGACCTGAGACATGCCATGGCCAACTGCTTCGAGGCTCTGATTGGTGAGTTTGACCACCAGCAGGTGGAGCAGATTATTAAAAATGGTTTTCTGTTTTTATAATGAAGAAAAATGAGCACTGGAAACAGACGTGTGTAGTTCCCCAGAGGGAACAGCAGGAGGCTGTATTGATCTCAGGAGAGTCTGACCTGTGGTCTCACACCTGGTCTCACACACACACACACACACCCACCCAGAGTTGGTGATAACTGCTGCTGCACCTCTGACAATCTCACAGTCGTCCAACAGATGGGAGTTAATCCAAACTCCTGCAGGAGTTGCAGCTTTCTCCTCCTTGTCTTATCTCCATCTGGAGTCGAACAGTTCGGCCATCGTCTGAATCCCCCCGCCTCCCCCCCCATCTGGAGTCGAACAGTTCGGCCATCATCTCCCCCTATGATAGATGGACGAAAACAAAATGCCAGCCAAAGATGGGGATGTTTTTTTTTTTAATCCTCGTCTTCAGTTGTTTATTGTTGTTGAATATGATCTTCTTCTTGACGTTGACTTTAAATACTTAACAATATTTAAAAGTTAGCGATCAGAAGTGAATGTTTTTCTCGATTCTCGATTGCTCTCCCCTGACAACCGAGGTGCAGAGAGGAAATCGTCTTCACCTTTTTTTTTATACATCTTCTTTCATCAGTCAAAATAAAGTGAAGGGAGAGCAGCGGGGGAGCAGAGAGGCGCCCCCCTGTGGACCCCCTGTGGACTTGCTCTGGGCCCCTGGTACTTGTTAAGGCTTCATTATCAGCCCAGATGAAGTCCTCGTCCCTCTGTCCTGTGGCCGTCCCTGTCCCAGCACAGCACTGGTCCATGAAGGTAGCAGCGCCCCCACTCTTTATCTGCAGCGGTTTCTTCTTCTTCTTGTTCTTCTTCTTCTTCTTCGTCTGAAGTTGAAAACTCTCAGACACAGTTCAACTTCCTCCTCTTCTCTGTCTGACCCCAGTCAGAAAGTACCAGAGGCTGAGGAACTTTTAAATGAAGTCCTTCAGCTCCCTGAGAGCCCGAACCATCTCCACACTTCGTCTGATCTTCGTCTTCTTCAGGAAGTCGTTTCTTCTGGTGAGGCTTGTCTGGTGAAAAACACAGAATTCTGGATGAAGTTCACCTTCAGAACCAGAACTGATCTTTGATAATGGTTCCATTCAGCCAGAAGAATGTGTTTATTCATTTACCACTCCCCCCCCCCCGCCTTCACCTTCACCTCGCTCACGTGTGGAATTGAAATTGCTGGATCTCCTGTTGTGAATATGACCTGCTCATAATATTTTCCGCAGCGTTGGCTCAGTGCGCTTGTTTCCCGACCTTTGTTTTATTTGTTTCGGCGCCGCGGTGACCGCTGAACCCCGGCCCCGTGAGAAACCGCAGATAATCTGCTGCTTTGCATGGAGCAGAGCTTCCTGCTTCCTGCTTCCCTCGGCTGAGAACGTGTCTGAGTGCTCACCCCGAGGCAGGGCCACTCTGGAGCTGGAAACAGAGAGAACGAGAAGACACCAAGAAAAAAGAGAGGGTGAGGGAGGGAGGAGATAGAGGAGACATCTGCAATGCAAATGTCTGCCCTGGAACCCTGAATAATTCAAAGTGTTGAATGGAAATCTTGCTTTTCTGATCCTCTCATCATTAACTTCTGCCAGAGTGGGCCATTCTCATTTGGGCTCTCTTGGCCTCCTGTTCCCGTCCTCTCCTCCCCCACCGCTGCCCTCCTCTCACCCTCTCCCTCTGTTCTTCTTCTTCTTCTTGCTCTCGGCCTTCTCCACCTCATCATGGTCTTCACAGGCCTCCGTGTCTCCGCTCTGAGCTGCTTTTCCACTCAGGTTCTGACCAATTTTTGTTGAAAGGATTGAAATCAAATACAGTATAAATGGGTGTGAGCAAATGGACCGGGACCAGAACCACGGGTTGGTCTTCTGTTTTTCTTCTTCTTGTCGTGTCAGTCTGTGACACTGAAACTCTCACTTGATCTTTAACCTCAGTGTTTTAAAAAGTTCTGGTTCTTTTTACCAATGTATCCCAGAAATCTGAAAAAAACAATTATTTATTCAACTTATTTTTGCCAGATGTTGATTAAAATTTCATTTTAAATGATCAAAAAGTAAAAAAAACAAAAACCAAAAAGTTGAAAATATTTCTCTGCTTCAGTCAAATTGATCTAAGAATCGACTGAAACAAAGTTTTACTAACTGATAACTAAAATAATCTGTTTTTGTTCAGTTCCTCTTCATCAGTTCTTGTTCTTTTGTATTTTAAAGTGAGATGTTTGAAAAGACGACACTGTCTTTTCTCACAACTTCAGTGGTGAAAATTGTATTATCATGTTTTGATTTTGTTTATATCTCTCTCTCACACACACACACACACACACAGATATTTTCTTTCCCTTTAATATGTTCCTCTCCGTGTCCGTCCGCTGCTTCAGCCTCCATTGAGCTGCGAGCGAGCGGCTTAATATATTATTTGATGGATTAGAGGCTGAGCGTTTCTGAATAATTCATCTGTGGTTATTAATGTGACTGTCAGTCGGCCCTGACTCTGGGACTGTTATTGGTCACTGAGACGCCCACAGACACTGGAATTCTCTTCCTTAACATAACAGTGTGTAGAGTGGACGAGGCGGTGACGGATGTGGAGGTTCATTAGTGGAGCTGCTCTGACTCCGACTCTGACGGTTCAGATTCTTAACTTGGTCAAAGTTTGTTTATTATTCTGCTGAAAGATCGTGTTTTTTTTTGTTTTTTTTATTGTGAGGTTCAGGTTATGAATATACGGTGACATTTCCAATGAAAACATCTTAGATGAAGTACTTTGATGGGTACTACAAAGTACAGTACTGTAGTATTGGGTAGTACTGGGTGTATTGACAAGAATATCCATACAGTACTGTGAAACAGAATATTATGATATTTCATTGAGTCTTCATCACTGTACTGGTCCCTGGAACCAGAAACAGTACTAGAACTTACTGTATATGCATATATTCTGCAGTAAAGTACTACCAGAAAAGGGGGGGTGGGTGCGAGGGGTGTATGTCCACGACAGCAACTAGTACCAGGAGTCTTTAACGACCACAGGGCCTAGTAAGAGGAAGTGGGTCTGTTCCCAGTGCAGGACGTCGGTGTGTAGTAGAAATAGACGAGCTTTTCTTGAAGTACCTTCAGAAATTCATTTTCACAGCCTGTGTGGACGGATATGATCAGGACTTAGAGAAAACATTACTCCACACCTGTCTGGGATTTGTTCAATTCCCTGGTCTGAGGACGTTCCCGAGGCGGAGGATTGTTCTTCGGGGTCTTCAGGTGTGGAGCTCAGAGCCGTATCTCTGCTCAGAGGCTTCGGAGGATTGAAGGTCGGCTCGGAGACCGATTTGTTTCTGGAACGATGTTCCAGCAGGATGAGCAGCGATAAGAACATGTGCAGAGAGAGGACGGAGCTGAGCTGACTGTTGAGTCTCCTCCACCTCCTCCTCCATCTGTCTTCACGTCGTCAGGTACCACCTGAACACGGCGCTGAGGTGTAGCGTGAACCTCCCGTTAATGATTCCTGTGAGTTGCATGTTTGATTAAATGGCTGAGGGGCAGATTTTTTTTTTTTTTTTTTTACTCCTTTTCAGAAATATTCTCCTCTTAAATTAACGGCACATCTTGGCTTCTTCATACATGGTCCTTTGATTGACACCAAAGGTGTTTCTTTTGATTTTTAATAGCGTGGTAAATCCCTGGAGGCTCTGCTCATCTTCTCTGACTCCTCCACCTCCTCCATCTGCTTGAAAAGACCGCCTTGTTTTTAATCTCACCAGAAGTGAAAACTCTTCAGTTTTCAACGACTTTCAGGCCTCGCTGGAACTTTTACGATCCGCTGAGTCATCCATAGATGAAGGACCCCACCCCCCAGGCCCCACCCTGGCCCCACAGGGGGCGTCACGTCAGGAGCAGATGTTGAAAGACGTTGGAGAAGCATCTGTGCTGTGAGGAAGTTCTTATCTCCAGAGCTGAATGATGATGGAGAACCAAGAACCCCAGCCCCTCCCTTGACCTTTGACCTTAGCTGCAGGTGTTCTTTGGATAAACATTGAAGCTGGCTGCAGGAAGTGTCACTGTGACAATACTAGTCATCACTGTGGCACCCCCTAGAGGGGAGACAAAACCATGATTTGATAGTCTGCTGATATATTTTAGATCACGTCAGAATATGAAACCAGATTTTTTTTTTTTTTTAAATGCACAGATCTTTGACCAGTGTAAAGATGTTTTAAATGAGTGAACGGCTGTTCTCCTGCAGCAGTGACTTCTGGGTAAAATGATGTCATATCGGCCCTAATCAAATTTGTGCAGCGTCTGCTGCCGGCTGCACGTAATTTCCCTCTGTCTGTTTAGAAGAACAGGCCGAGTGCTGCTGGGTGTTGGTGATTGTTGCTGCTGCTGATGTGTGTGTGTGTGTGTGCGTCAATGGCCTGTTAACCATCTGAAAACCGTTTGCAGTCCACATGATGAATCCGTCGTATGTTTGTGATGTCGTTGGTGTTGACGACCGTCGTCCCGTCTCGTCCCAGTTCCAGCTCCTCATTTATGGACAAAATAAAAAAAAAAACCCACTGCGAGTGTGTATTCCCAATTTACCAGGATGTTACTGCGTTCCAAATTGAATGAAGTGTTTGTAAGTGCGATGGAGAAGCTTAAAGTGATCGTGCTGCAAACAGAGCTGCACAACATCGTTTGTTTCTGAGAAGAAACCACTGTCGTAGTCGTCGCTTCATTGGTTTTTGTAACAACAGCAGTGACAAAAAAAAAAACAGGAATCGGCAAAAAGTTAGAATTACAATATTTGTTCACCAAATATTAACCAAAATATAGAAAAACAATAAAGAGATATATGTATATAATTAAAAAGCTAAACATTAGCCTTTTTTTCGTTTTGTCTCACACACACATCTCTCCTCCTCCTCCTGCTGCTGATGAGGTGGAGGTGGCTGTGGTTGGAGGCCCCGAGGTCGTCCCTCTGTCATACTGCAATAAAAATGCACTCCTGCTTTAATAAAGCAATTAGAGCTCATCACCGGTTTCAATTAATTCAAAGTTTTCCATTAAGAATGAAATTGCCCCAGAATTGTTGAGATTATTTTTCTTCCTCAGCAGTTTTACACTGACGCTGATGTAAATTCATCTGGTTTTTAATTTACACTTGTACATGTTCTAGAGTACAGCACACACACACACACCCACACACACTTCATCAGGCTGACTCCTCTGATTTTTTGTCTGTTATTTCTCCTGTTTCTCTTCTCTCTCCTCACTTCTTATTTCCTCGTTCCTTCTCCAGGTGCTGTGTATTTGGAGGGAGGTTTGAAGGAGGCTCGGCAGCTCTTTGGTCGACTGCTGTTCAACGCTGAGGTAAAATCTGCATCTTTATCTCACGGTGACTTCACGCCTGGAGCTCCGGCTCCTAAAACAAGAAGGTTTTTAAAAACGCTACCAATGTTTCTTTGTGGTTGGTCAGTCGGAAGAAGTAGAAAAAGAAAAATCCAGTAGTATTTCTTGATGGTACGTTGTCCAGCCGTCTGTACCGTGACGTCTGTGACTGTTGTCACACGTCAGTCATGTCCACGTGACTGTGACTGTTGTCACGTGACTGTTTTGATCCTCAGTAATCCCACCTCATCCTCCAACACCGTTGATTTGGGTTGTTTCCCCTCTGAAAAACAAAAAAAAAAAAATTTTAGAGAAAAAAAAAAAAAAAAAAAACAGGTGTGGATGAAGCTGTGGCAGCAGAACCGGGCTGGACCGCAGCCTGTCACTGTAGATCTGTGGAAATGAGGCAGAAGAACGGAGCAGGACACCTGCTGCTGTGACTGTGTGTGTGTGTGTGTGTGTGTGAGATCAGCCGGCCTGAATAACTGATGCTCAGATCATTAGTTACATTTATCACGGCACAGAGACGTTATTCAAATATTTGCAGCAGGTTCTGTTTATGACTGGACGTCGACTCCCTCACTCCGTGTTCCACTGTATCAGGCTTGGTCCAAATCTTTGGTCTCTGGAGAATTCTGAATGTTATTCCTCATGAAGTCTAAGTAATGAACAAAAAAAAAACAACCTAGAGAAGACGGGTTCTAACGAGTAACCACCGGGGAACCGATGTTTCCATGTGGGAGGAACTGAAGTATTTTTAATTTATTAATAATTTCCATTCCACTGCCCCCGGTGGCCATGATGATTATTGTATTATTGACTTGTCACAGACAGGAATGTGTCAAAGAAAAGAAAACAGTTTACAGGTAGAGAGACAGGGAGAACGTTGAAGAGTAGAAACGTACCAACACAAATTAGGCTTTAATTAAAAAAATAAAATAAAAATGGGCAGCAGGGAGTTGACGTCCTCTGGCAACACAAACGCGTCTGGTGAAGGACTCAGGCTCCAGGTGTTTGTTTCATCACTTGTACCGACAACAGATGATGGGAGAATACGGATGATGTAATTTCCAGATAGAGCAGCTTTGAATAATGATGAAAAACAAAAGAAGAAGAAGGGATTAACGACATGTTTTATCGACAGACACAAGAATTAAGAAAATATTTGTGTACATGGAAACTTTTACAGTAGTATCTTTAAGCCTAAGGAGGAAATTCTCTCTCTGCTCTGCTTTTGCGCAGGCACAGAGGCATCAATATTCGGGAAGTAAAAACCTAGTGCTACACGCTGGGTTTTCTAATATTTGTAAGAATCCTCTGATCTGAAAGTTTTAAACTTCTTAACCGTCAGACTGGTTCTACGCCGGTGTTCAGTGTTCAGGACGCACAGGTCTTAACCGTCAGACTGGTTCTACGCCGGAACAAGTGTTGAGGACGCACAGGCACAAAGGCGTTAACAGCCTCCCTGTCATCACTTTAAGAGCGTAACCTTCCCGTGACACTGAAGTTTACTTTACAGAGGTTTAGATTTAAAAAGTTACTCAATTACAACAAGCAGATTTTGGTTGTTTTTGTTTTTTTGAGGAACATCGAAGACTCCACCAGACGACAGCTTAAATCTTCAGGCCTCTGAGATCTGGATGAAATCCTTATCTCTCTGGTGTCAGATAATATTAATCCAGATTTATGAAAGTAGGTTCTGAGATGACAGGTGAACGAGACCACACTGATCCAGACAGAACCAAACAGAAGCAGACGCTAACGTCATTAGTCGGGTCTTAAAATCGCGGTCCAGTCCAGGGGGCGCCCACGCATCCATAGTCTTCGTTCTAATTAGAATAGTTTGTTTGTTCTTCAGAGAGACAGAGGGTTTTGTTGTAAACATGGAATTAAATTGGTCTTTTTTTTCAACCACTCACTACAGATAACTGCACACAATCCTCTGTCACTTTAAAGATGATCGGTTTTATTAACGTCAAACGGGATAAAAACTGAACACCACCAAAAATAAGTGTTTATAGTTTGTTAAAAAATGAAAAAAAAAAGACTTTCTTTGAGAAAAGTCTGTGAATAAATGATTTTTTACTGCAGGAAGGTTCTTTTTAGCCACATTATATCAGGACAAATACTAAAATAAGGGGTCGGGGGTCAGAAATATACGCACAAAAAAGTAAAAACAAAACACATTTATTGTTAAAAAAGCTTTATTTAGACAAACTTGTATAAAACATCAGCTTCAACAAATAGCTTTATTTAGACAAACTTGTATAAAAAATCAGCTTCAACAAATTATACAGGCAAATATTTAGCTGAAGATAGAAGATAAAAAAGTGAGTGAAATGTTTTTATTTCCTCTGTAAAAGCTTTAATGCAGTGGAAAAGTCAGAGACTGAAGGCTTTGGTCCGAGTCCTGCTGTGGAGATGGAACCATCGAGGAGGTGTCGGAGTAGAACATTATCAGACTAATGAGACGGACACAACCGGAGGATGAGGTCCTCTCTCTCTCTCTCTCTGTGTGTGTGTGTGTGTGTTTTCAGGCTGATCAGTTTAGGTCTCTGAGACTATGAGTCAAAGTAAAAACATAACTGCCAGCAGGGGGCATTCTTCATAAAAAGAACTTTTAGCTGCCTACCTCAGATGTCCCTTTAGAATCTGTTTAGTTCTTAATATCATTGTTGAACAGTTTTGTCCCACATGGAAAAACGTCCCTTCGTTAGTGAAATCCTACTTCATTAACCATCGTCTCTGTGTAACTTGATTATCGTTAATTCTCTCCTCTTGTAAGTTGCTTCAGTTAAAAGCTTCTGCTTCTTGTAAAAATGTGAAGCCCACCTGAAGACTCAGGCTGTCGCCCTAACACCCCGCCCCCCCCGACCCCCCTGGGTGTGTTTCCCCTGCTCGTCCCTAATTGGCTGGACATTCCTGACCTCAGTGTTTACTCCTCTCTTCTTTCCCAACGACGACTCTGTGATGATGGAATCCAGCTTCACTGAACACAGGCGCCTTTGTAATGGTGTTGGTGGTGGGGGGGGTGGTGGTGTGTTTGGGGGGGGGGGGGGGTATTACAGCGTCGTTGGTGAGAGGAGCGACTCCTACTGCAGGGGGAGCCGCTCAGTTACTCCCAACCTGGACTGTGGAGCGGCGGCTGTTGCAGTTTGTGTGAAATAAAAAGAAAGCTGTTGACGCCAGCGTCAGCTCCTGAGGGAGGTGACTCTCAGGAGGAGCAATCACTGTTGCCACCGCTCCACCAGCTGCCCCGTGGCTAATCTGGTGGCTTTTATTAACCAGCTCTTCATGAGTATGCAACAGCTCTGCAATCGGTCCTCACAGCCGGCTCCAAACAGTACCTCTCAGTTCTGTGGCTGCTGCGGTGGAGGTGAGCGCAGGAGTGACTGAACGTTTGTGAAACACAAGCTAACGGCTAATGAAAAACAGTGGGTTCCTGTAGTCAGCTCAAATGTGCTAAACCACCGCTAACATGAAGCAAAATGTATAAAAATAAAAAAGCTAAAAATATATATATATAACAAGTGTTAGAATATCAGAAGTGTTCAGTTCAGATCAGTGGCCACAGAATCAGAGTTTTTTTTTTTTTTTTCTCACACTGGGACAAACTGTCCGTGGACAGATGGCTGTGTTGAGCTGCTTTGATGTTGGCATCGATCGTCGGCTCCATCGATTCGTCCACTGCTGCACAACACTGTGTGATGGATTGATTGGCAGCTCGACAGCCACAGAGAACAGTCAGAGGAGGAGGGCCATTATAGTCTCACCCGTGTGTGTGTGTGTGTGTCTAATTGGTCACGTCACTGGCAGCAGTACTTTGTTGATTCAGAGTTTGGTCAAATCTCAACTTTTCTGGTCGAGCAGTGAATGAACTTTCAAATCAAGTTAATGTTTTGCTAACATTTAGCTGTCGCTGTTCTACGTTTGTCATTGCTAATGTTTGACTTTGGTTGATCGACCGACCGACCGTTGTTATCGACTTTTTCTCGAAGTCACGTCGACTTCCACAGCCAACGACCTGCGTCGTGTTCACATGTCGGTTCTTCTCCTGGTTCTTCTCCTGGTTCTTCTCCTGGTTCTTCTCCTGGTTCTCCTCCTGGTTCTTCTCCTGGTTCTCCTGTTACCTGTGATGAACTTCTCAGCGCTGGTGTCAGACGGAGGAGACGCTGGCAGCCAAAAGGAAGCATTTGTTGAAAAGTATCGACCACTTCCATGAATTTTTCAACAGCTCCTGAAGGCGATGGGCTGTCAGCTGGGTGGTCCTCTCCCTCCCCCCCCCCACTCTCAGATAGGCTGGGTTCAGTCTTTAAAGACTAGTATCCTTGAAGCTCTGGTCACCTGCTCTTCAGATGTGACACTGATGTGAAACAGAAGAAGAAAAAACCAGAACATTTAGTAGAACTGTTGGTCTGTTTGTGTCCGTTCACTCCCGTTGGCTGTCAGTTGATTTGAACCAGTGCTAAAAGTATTGACTGACCTTGTCCGTGTGCACATTGATTTAGATGTTACACAATCAATACCACGATACCGTCTTGTTGCACGTGTAGGTCATGTTATATTTACACGCTTACACCACGGAATATCTTCTAGAAGGATTAAAATATAAAAACAAACCTGAGCCAGTCTAACAGGAACGTTAGCGCCGCTGTCGTGCTCCATCCATCCATGAACCTATGTTGCATTACTGCCACCTACAGGCTGTGTGGTACAGTGTTTCTGGTGAACCAGACCAGTGGTGAGGAGACATGTTGACTCTCCTTATATTTGTTTGTGTGTGTGCATGCGTGTGTGTGTGTCTTCAGAGTCTGCTCCACATCTCAGAGCTCAGATTCTACCGCCCCCCCCACTCTACCCCCATCACCCCCCCAACCCCCCCTTCATGGCTCCCCTGTGTGTGGTCCACATCCAGACCGCTGCTCTGAAAATGAGATGCTGACTCATTTGCTGTTATTTGACTGTTCTCCTCCGGCGCCCCCTGATGGCCCCTGTGAGCTCTCAGAGTCACTGTGTCCTCCACTCAGAGCCATCAACACCTCATCATCACACTCACATTGTTTTTTATTTGTTTCTTTTCTTCTTTTTTTTTCTCCTGTAGCTGCGGCAGAATAAAAAAAAAATCATATTTTTGTCCTAATGTTCAGAAGTTTCTGCTGTTCTCTGGGAGCTGAAGAGTAACCGAGTCTCAGGGGATTTTTTTTTTTTTGTTAAAGTAACTGACATGAATTTTCTGACCTGCTGTAATTGGTGATGTTTATGAACACGGGAGCAGAAGACTCTGCAGGGCGTTGTCTGGTTTTAATTGTTGGGACAGTTACTGTCGTTTGCTCTCGTTTCTGTCCGTTGCTCAGCAGCGGCAGGCGGTCGATGACGAGGGAAAAACAAACACACAAAAACTTACAATAGATTTTTTTTTGCGGTGTGAGAGCGGGGAGAGAAAGTCAGGGCCAGAGGGTGAGTTCAGCTGCTGAGGATCTCCTGAAGGGGTTGGTGAACAGTCAATCCAAACTGTTGCTGGTGAAAATCCACGTCTGTTGGATCTGGAGCTCAACGCTGCCTCGAAGGCACCGCGACGCCAAGGAGGTGGTGGATGAAGCTCTGGGAGGAGGACTGTAACAAGGCACAGAGAGGTTGAAGGACCGGGTCCTGGGTTTGTAGTTCTGGGTCGTAGTGAGTCAGTTTCTGGTACCGAGTCCTTCAGAGCAGCCACTGAGGTCGACTGTTGACTGTGATGTCAGAGACGTTTCCTCCTGACTCCTCCACTCACCTCCTTCTGCTCTGTCTTCTTCTCTCTCTCTCTACAGGGCCTGCGGGAAGTCTGGCTCAACTACCCACCACACCCCCTGCAGGTCAGTGCAGATGTGTTTCATTGTTGATGTTTATTTTGCCCCCCCCCCACCCCCAGCAGCTGGAGTGTTTACTCTCTGCCTCAGCCTGACTTGTAGCTTCGTAGCCGTCACACTCCTCCTTTGTCCGACAGACCCTGAACACATCACCGGTGTTTGTTTGAAACACAGCTCTAGAAGAAGAGATCACAGATGCTGTAACAGGATTACTGGGGGGGGCGGGGAGGGTGAACCGCCCTGGGTTCTCCGGCACCTTCTTCTGGTCCAGTCCTGAAGCTCACTAACACAGTCGACACGTCCAGTAGTGGGCGCTGTAGTCAGGCTGCTGCTGGAGGTCAGACCCCTCAGCTGCTCTGCTGCCTGACGACGACGACCTCCACGGCGTCGCTACATAAGTGGTGATTAGCCTCATCAGAGCCTGCGACTCCCACCGGGGTCCTCCTCTCCCCCAGAGTGGATAATGGCTTTTAAATTGTTCCGAGCTCCTGTTAACTTGATCACATCTTGACCTTTTGGGTCGAGATGATTCAATTTAAGGAGATTCACAGCAGGAGGAGAAAACATCTCCTCTATTATTTCAATTATGGATTGGTGCTGAGGAGACCCCCCCTCAACCCCCGACCCCCCAACCCAGTGTTTGTCAGTACAGTTGGGGTGGGTTCAGTTTTCCTTCTGCTCATCCAAGAAGAAAAACACTAGTGGTTCAGTGAGGTCCAAACAGTGGGAGGTGGAGCTGAGATGGTACGATTGTCAGTCATCAGTGGCCTGACTGGTCACATGACCACATCTAACTGTTGTTGTTGTTGTTGTTGATGATGATGATGAGATGCTTCAGGAACAGACACAGCATCATGTCAGTGAAGATCTGCTCCAGACTCATCTTCTCCTCAGCTCTGATAAAAAAAACACCGTCGTTTTCTCAGGTTGACAACAAAGAAAAATCTGAATTAAAAGGAGACGTCGTCTCGTTCGCTCTCCAAAGACCGGTTTTTGATCTACACAAATACTTCAACCCCTCCTTGAGAGTGAGGAGGTGAACCCCCCCACACCCCCCATCATCAGAACATCATTTTAGGCTGTAGTTTATTAGTAAATTTATCCACGTGTCAAATCTCTTCTTCAGAACTCGAAGACCTCGCCTCTGATTCTGATTCCTGACTGGACAGAAAGTGAATCTTTGAAGCTGATTTCAAAGTTGCCCCCCACCCCCCACCCTGCCCCCCCGCTCCTCACACACAACCTCTGCTGATGATTTTAATTTTTTCCCACTCTCCTCTCCTCGTTTGAAGCCTGGCTGCCAGCCGTCTCCCCCCTGAAGGACGGCTCACGCCCGCCAGGGCTGAACTCGTCAGAAGTCGTTAGTTGTGATGCGTGACATTTAAACGCCTTTCGTTAATTAACGGATCTGGGGAAAAAGGGAAGAAAACCAGGAGAAGCGGAATGTTTCTCTTTGGAAGATGGAACCTTGACTTTCCCGGCAGCGCTCCAATTAAAACGTAACATTTAAAAATACATCTCATCTTGACACGAGGAGTGAAAGGAGGGAAACTGAAAGAACTGTGTACTTGTCATCTCTAAATGAAAACCACAGAGTGGATGTTGGACATGAAGGAATGCAGTGACCATCCTCCCCCCACACACACTCCACAAGGCGTTTCCTTCACAGATGACATCTTAAAAGCAGCATTTTAATCAAATCTTCACATGTCCACACAGAGCTGCCGTTCACTGCTCTCTATTTCTCTGTGGGAAAAGAAGAAGAAAAAAAATTGCGTCCTGGTCAATCTCGCAGTTGGAGCACGCAGAGACCAATTAGATGTTTGGAGCTGCCTAATTAATGCACCCGTAACGATATCTCTTGATTCAACAAACTTTCATGACCATATTTTTTCAGCTTAATGAGTGTCGACACGAGCGGAACGTTCCTGCAGAACCGCACTCTCCAGGTCCATCAACGGCTCTCTGATGTTCAAGGCAGAACGTGAACCGGCTCCTCTGTTGTTTTACATTCCACCGCTGGAAAATACATCCTTGGAAAATACATCCTTAAAAAATACATCCTTAAATTCTCTGGAGTTTTTTTATACGATGTGATGCAGCTGCTGGTGTAAAATAAAACAAACAAAATACTTTACATTGATGCCATTGAAGATCAAACAACTTCAATGAGAAGCTGAACCTTGGACTGTGTCCTAAAAGTACCAGTACTTTCCATCAATGAGGTTCAGTTCTAAGTTTCTTAGGTACAGGGACTAGTTCCCTGAGTTAGTACCATGGAGACTGAGACTAAAACCAGACTTGTTTTCCAGGTCCAGGAGCCTCAGACGGACCGTCAGCTCATCGAGACGTCGCCCGTCCTCCAGAAACTCACCGACTTTGAGAAGTCCATCGGCGTCCTCTTCACACACGTCCGTCTTCTGGCCCGAGCGTTCACTCTGAGGACCGTGGGCTTCAACCACCTCACACTGTGAGTACAGCGCCACCTCAGGGTACAGTCTGTCAAACGCAGCGCTCAGTTAGAGACACCGGGTCCAGGAAGGTTTTATAAACTAGAAAAAGGTCATTGATTTATCCTGTGTTCTTTTTAAACAGTTCCAGCCTCTTCCTTCTCCTCGTCTCTATGCAGTCACCAAAGCATGTGACAGGAAGTGACCTCAGTGTCATGTTTAAATTACCTGAGTGTAAAGTACATTTTTTAATATTTATATATTTTCTGATCCGTGCGTCTAAACCCAGACTTCCAGATCTGAGACAGTCAGAATCCCAGTGGAGCCTCCGCTTTCCATCTCTGTACCTGTGAGGTCACCACCCCAGGGCCTCATGGGAAATGGAGATTTGATTCATTGGCTTGTTTCACAGAGAGGAATGTTTCAAATATTCTTCTTCTAAGAAGACTTTAAAAAAAAAAAAAAGTATTCGGCTTTAAAGTGACAGCATTTTCAGCTCTTTCTCTGGAGGTTTTTAACAATTCAATTAATCGTGTTTTTGTTTTAATTGTCTTCATGTTTCAGTTGTAAAACATTGGAAAATTAAAGTAAAATAGCTTAAAATAAAAAAACCTAAAGTTTCACTGATGACAAAATGAGTCAAAACAGACAGAAATAAACTAAAAACAACAGAGCAAAGAAGAAACACCTGATTTTTTTTTTCTTCGCACTAGGCTTTTATCACAATTTTCTTTTTTAACAAAATTATCTCCCGTTAAACTGTGACCAAATTCACTGGTACTTTTTTTTGTCAGAACTGAGTCAAATCCCATCATCAAAAGTTAATGAAAACATCACAGAGAAAACTAGATATCTACACTGTGAGCCTACCCGTAGGTTAAAGGTTGGTGTTTGTGCCGGTGCTTTAAGGAACTCACCTACCCTGTCTTTAATCTGAGGCGGTTGTGTTTGCAGTAGAGTGTGTTGTGTTTGTTTGGTTGTTGCTTGTTTTTTTGTTTTTTTCTTCTTTAATGAAGCGTCAGAGCGCAGGCTGTGATATTGTAAATATTTTTTACCTCTCAGCTGCTGCACTGACATTTGTTCGATACGCACTAAAGTTACAAACTTTCTACAGAGAGGGCTTTAGAAATCGATCAGAACAGACAGAGAGAGAGATAGAGACAGAGACAGAGAGAGGAACGCTGTTCCAAACATTCCGTTGCCGTCCGGTCTTCACCACGGCTCACTGAAAATGGCTGCTTGGAAAATGTTGCTTGTTTTTGTATAAAACAGTTTCCACTAATGAGCGGCTGCTCTGCAGTTGGAGGTGTTTTCTGATGCAGCAGCAGTAACAGCAGCAGCAGTAGCAGTAACAGCAGCCTCAGCAGAGCTGCTCCCCTCTGTAGCAGCAGCCGCAGCAGCCTCAGCAGCTCTGACAGCTATAGTAAATTAGCTGTGGCAGCTCACCTCTGATATCTTATTGGCAGCCTGCTCTCTGTAATTGCTTGCTTAGTTTTGCCACAAGGACACCGGCCTGTGTGTGTGTCTGTGTGGGGGTGTGTGTGTGTTGTGCACACGCTGATCCATTTCTTGAATGTCAACACTGTGTTCGATCAGTAGAAGGAAAGTTTAGGTCCTGGAACGTCAGACGGAGACAAACAGGAAGAGTCTCACTGTTCACTGTTCAACACTCGAGTTACGTTTGTTTCTGGGCAACTTCTGGTTTAACCTGATAAATATCTGATAATTAAATATCTGTTAATTAAACAGCTGATAATTAAATATCTGTTAAATAAGCTGCTAAATGGATGAGGCACGTTTTAGTTTTTTTAACAGTTCATTTCTAGATATTCTTTTTTTCCTATAATTGCTGTTTTTTTATTGGCTGATGAACAGATAATGTCAGTGGTGGTTAGCTGCAGCTCTGCTGTTCAACCTCAGCTCTGCTCCACGTTCTTCAACCTGACTGGAAATCCATGTCCTCGGCTCGTCTATGTTCACCAGCTCATTAGAAGCTACAGGCACGTTGACCTGGACAAAACCAAGTCACCCACGAGGACCAAAGGTCACGCTGACAAAGGTCACCGCGCAGTGATGGGGAAAGGTGGGGGGGGGGTCAAACATCCAGGTCCAGCAGAAGATGAAGATGAAGAATGTTTGACCTTCAGTCAGTTGATGCACAAGTAGAGGACAGACAGGGAGGGCCAATGGAGGCTCACGGCCTCTAGGTGGAGCTGTCGTAGTAGAACAACAGATTTATTTCTGTTATAGAGAACAACAGGTTGACTCTCAGCTGGAGTTCAGTTTTTGTTTGTTTGTTTGTTTCATACATTCACGGCAGTAAAAACTCCATAAACCTGGAGTGGATTTAAATATAAGGTTGGAACTTTAAAAAGAAAAGAAAATCAGCAAACCTCTGGCCAAGTTCCTTCCCTTCACCCTCCCCCTCTCTCTCACCTCCTTGTCCTCCTCCTTCAGACTCCAGCCTGAGCTCCTTCATTAGCTCGCTGTAGGAGTTTGAACCCACATCGGTTCTGGGCGTGTCAGGGAATATAAATACACCAGCCCCGTGCCCCCGCCCCACCTGTAGGCGGCGTAGACCGGGTATAAAATTATAAAGTAACAGCAGTGTTTACAGGAGTTGGTGCCAGGATTCCTGAAAATAGACCTTCACCACTGGTTAGATCCAGGGACGGTTCTGGAGTCTGTCAGGTGTTCTTCTCCGACGTTCCCTGGAAACGTGCTGTTTTACTGCTGTGTTCTAAGTATGTTCTCATAAATAACCATCCCTGATTGGTCGTGGCATCTGTCAGCGCTGCTGCTGCTCCCAGAGGCCAGACGGTGTAAATTAGAGAACACGGAGCTTCTGTGTGGATGAAGGTTGGAGGAGTGACGTTCATTTCCTTACTCTCTCGCCCTTTTATCTCCTCTCTCTCCTCCAGGGGCCACAACCAGAGGATGGAGTTCCTGGGAGACTCCATCATGCAGCTGGTGGCCACGGAGTATCTCTTCATCCACTTCCCTGACCATCATGAAGGACATTTAACAGTAAGTCTGACTGACACTGACACTGACCCCCCCGCACTCCCTCAAAAAGACTTTTCTTTGTCAGGAAAATCACTGTTGAAGTGTTTTCATCACCTGTGACATTTAAGTCTGTTGAAGTTTGAACTTCTCTGAATTTATAAATATATGATTCTGGGCCAGATGTGTGGGTCTGACCCACTTTTACAGACCACATTACTTTGGTTTGATCCCCCTCTTCTAACTGCCCACCTGCAGTGAACCACTCCTTCACAGCGCGCGCCCCCCCCCTTCTCTGATCGACGTCGTCCGTTGTTCATCTCTGTTTCTTAGTTACACTTTTTTTTTTGTCAGCACTTTCTTTCCTGGAGCTGTCAGGTGAAAACTAAAGTTGTGTTTGGGCACAAAAGACGAGGATCACACAAACGATGTCTGTGTTTCTGACGGCGTCAAACCCCCACCCCAGGACCCCCACCACCACCACCACCCTCCACCCCTTCCTTTTCCTTTTTTTTCCTCTAATGGACGTGGAGCGCTGCGACCACTCCAGGCTGTGTGATTGAACTGGTGTTAAAGTGAATAAGAGCCTGTGTCGTTTAGACGCTCGCTCCTGGATGTTCCTCACACATGAAGCCTTGATGTTCTCCTATAAAAGCTTCCATCAGCGTTTGTGGAGCGGCTGAAAGCTTCAGTGCTGCCAAAGCCCCAGAGTCAAGACGCCGAACATCTGAAATGGATTTAAAGAAAAGAGAAAAATCTTCAATTCAACTCGTGTGTGTGTGTGTGTTTGTGTGTTTGTCCTTTCACAGACCTCAGTGCGGTTCTGTCCTAACGCGTGATTGGCTCAGCTTAAAGTCACAATCTAATATTTAACAGAACGACTGAAACATTAACATCACAGTAGAACTCTCTGTCCTTTGAAGTGCTTTTAAAAAAAGAAACATTTTTGTGTGTCATGATCTGGAAAAATAACCAATCAGAGTAAAGCCCGTGCTGCCTTCACTGACCCAGTGGAAAATGAAACTCCTGAATGAATTCTGAAGTAGATTCTTATTTGTATTTTTTTGTAAATAAAAAAAAAATAGAGATACTGTTGTTGAGCACATTAGTGACCCCTGGTGTTTGTCTGCAGCTTCTCCGCAGCTCCCTGGTCAACAACAGAACACAGGCCAAAGTAGCCGAGGAGCTGGGGATGCAGGAGTTCGCCATCACCAACGACAAAACCAAACGACCGGTGGCTCTGAGGACCAAGACCCTGGCCGACCTGCTGGAGTGTACGTCAGAACCAGAACAGTACAGAACCAGAACCAGAACAGTACAGAACCAGAACCAGAACAGAACAGAACCAGAACAGTCACAGTTTAATACAACACTCAGGTTTATTTGATGAATTCTCAGTTGACTGAGAAATAAAATATAAAATAATGAATCCACATGGATGGACTGACGTTAAATTTCACTTCAGTACCGACGGTCACTTTAACTTTTGTTTTGTCATACAATCCAAATTTTCTTCATTGAATCTTGAATATTGTTTGACCACAGTGTTGTTTGTTCCAGTTCTGATGTGGAACGTGAACCGACTTTGTTCATTTGAGTCTCTGTTTTCTGTTGTGCAGCGTTCATCGCAGCTCTGTACATCGATAAGGACCTGGAGTACGTGCACACCTTCATGAACGTCTGCTTCTTCCCTCGGTTGAAGGTGAGTCCAGAGACACGGTGGACCTCCCGCCGTCGGCTATTTCAGTCTTTGTCAATGGGAGTCACAGAGTGGGTGGTGTTCTCACCTCCACCCACTCTGTGTGAGCGGCTGACGGGGAGTATTTTTGGGACTGGGATCAATTCTGACTGGAAACTGGTGAAAGGAGGAAGAGGAGGAAGAGGAGGAGGAGTATTTTTAGGAAGGAGTTCTAACAGGAGCCACAGCTCTGGTTTTCTGATACTTTTCTAATTTGTTTAAGTAAAATCCAAATTGTGATTTTGTTTATTTTGGGAACTTGATCTTTAGCTGTGGGTCATGTGACCCCTGTCATGTGACCCCTGTCTTGTCTTAATGTGAACAGATTTTTAGATCAGCATCAGAGACGACACTTTAAAGTCATGTCTTCTTCTGTAGCTGCACCCCTGTCAACTCCCACCTACACACACACACACACTGTATGTATGTGTATGTGTGTGTGTGTGTGTGAGAACAGCAGACTAATTGCTGTCTTGCTGAGGTTCTCCTGGGAGAAGGAGTCGAGCTCTGAGGCCTGCTCCTTGGGAAACAGTGTGTGTGTGTGAATACACACTCAGACTCAAATGGACTTCTTACGCCTGTAAAATTGAGTCAAAATATTTTTAATCTTCCCTCATTTTCCTTTTTTTTTTTTTGCCAAATTGTGAATAACTTTCTTTCATCCTAAATGTTTTGCTAATTTTTAGCCATGTTTGAAATATTTTGGATAACTCTTAGTTTCAACAGTGCTAACATTTTTCACACCGTGTAGACGATTTGTCGGTGGTTGTTGGTGTGAAAATACATTGTGTTTATTTTCAGAACATCTGGAGCTAAAAGTTTAGCTGTCATTTAGTTACACCTGCTGATGTTCTAACTCATTTACATCGAGCTTTTATTAAAACTTTCACTTGGATTTTCTCTGAAGTATTAAAGTCATTAGTGACGTGGATGATCCTAGTGGTGAAAAAGTCATAGACATTTTTATGATATTTTGTTTCCTGATGTCGTATCAATATTGGTGTTTTTTTATTACATTTAGCAGAGAATCCCAGCGGTGCTTTGTGCTGTTCGTTATTAGACTGAGTTTAATTTTGGTCCTTCAGAACGTTGACATGAACATGATTCATGGACATGAACCGGTCTGAGGAGCAGGAAAAGGTCGCTGACCTCTGGTTTAAAGTTTATCTGTGCTGCAGTAATGACTGGTGGTGAATCTCTGCTTCACCGTTAGCTCTTTTCAAAACAGCCAAACTCGTCTGCGGCAGCGACGCGTCCCCAGAGAGAGGAAGAGTGGGGAAGAGGAAAAAGGAAATGAGAGGAAGTAAAGCGGGAGGTTTTAGGAGCCGCAGTCAGCCGTAAAGCACAAGTCGAGGAGAGTGCGAGCCACAGAAGTGGAAACGCTCTTTGTGGAAAATTAATAGAAGCAGACAGTTGTGCGTTTTTATGAGGAGGCTGCCTCCCTGGTAATGGAAGAGCTTTTAGAAGTCCCTGTAGGATCAGAGAAATGTATCAGCGCCGCTCACCTGGGAGACTCCCAGACGCTCTTTATTCCTGCGCTGGGATTGGCTTTTTGTCTTTAAGTAGCCGGTGATTTGTGGTCGGCATGAAGCCGCAGAGGAAATGAGCGAGTGGTGGAGGGAAAGAAATGTCAGGAATGAAATAAAAGCAGGAGCGAAGTCTGGAGCTGCAGAGGATTTGGTTATATCTCTGTTTTCTTTTTAATAAAAAAATAAACCGACTGACGTTTGTGTGTGTGTGTGTGTGTGTGTGTGTGTGTTTGTGTGTGTTTGTTTCTATTTCCAGGAGTTTATTCTGAACCAGGACTGGAACGACCCAAAGTCTCAGCTGCAGCAGTGCTGTTTGACCCTCAGAACCGAGGGCAAGGAGCCTGACATCCCACTGTACAAGTAGGTATCACAGTACACACACACACACACACACACACTCTTCTCAGAAACTGAAACATTCAAAAAATAGTTCCTGAGAATTCATCTGTTCAGAGAAGAAACTCAACTTCCTGTTTCCCTTTGGTTTCTGAAAATGTTTTTTTTTGACTCCTCACAAAGAGGTCAAAGAGTTTTAAGAGATTTACATTTTATTAGGATATTCAGTACCTGCAGTATTTGTGGTACCTGCAGTATTTGTGGTACCTGCAGTACCTGCAGTATTTGCGGTACCTGCAGTAAACGTCTGTGCGGCTCCAGACGAGGCTCGGTGTAAACAGAAGAGACGAGGATTATTTACTGACGCCTTTTCCGTCTGTTTTTCTTCATCTTCACTAAAGCTCCTTGTAAATAAACAAACATCCTCCATGTTGGCCCCAAAGGTCAGAGGTCAGATGTTGTTCAGCCGAGGCGTGTTTGTCCTGGACAAACAGAGAGAACACAGACGAAGGAGAGGATTCTCTTTTTTTCGTGTTAAACTGAAAACATTGGATTCTTATTTCCATCAGCGCCTCCTGCTGGTTCTCCTCTGTTTATTGTTTTGTCCGTCAGTCTGAAGAACTGCTGCGTCTCTGCACTGCTGTACGTTTTCTCACCTTAAATTTTTGAAGTTTCACCCAAAAATCATCTGCACCAACGTGTTACACTATTTTATATCAAAGTCTAACGTCGTTTGAGGTGTTTTTCTAAATGAAACTTCTTTTTAAGTTTACTCCACCTGATCAGAGTTTGTTTAAACCAACTCTTTTAGCTTCAGTGTCTTTAGGTTCTTGAAGTATAATTTGGAGAATCTCTTTTAAACACTTCATTAGTGAAGTAACGACGCATCGTGAATCGGTTACAAATCGACACAAACTTTCATTGGTTGAAATAAAAAAATGAACATCAAGGTGTGAGGAGGCGGCGGCGGCTGGTCGTACCAGGACTCCACACACACCTCCCTGGTTCCTCTTGGTCGCCCTCTCTCACTTCATCGGTGTTATAATTCAACCTGACTCTGTCTTTTCCGCCTTCCTGCTGGGGTTTGTCTGTAACCCTCCAGCTCAGGAGTCTTGTTTGTTGCTAACATGCTACGTGCTACTTCATTTGTAAGTGAGAGTGGAGGCTGAATTATTGATGGACCCGTCATAAGTGACCACAGTGCATTAAAAATTGACAGCACTCCTGAAATAAGTAAATTGTCTGTGAATAATTTACAGCGACTCCCAGCGCGAGACGGAGATGTTTATGCTAATGTTAACATTTCAAACATCGTCGGAGTTTGGTCTGGATCCTGTTTGGACGGGAATCTGGACCAAAGTGATGGCTGTCAGTTATGGTTTTGATTTGAATAATTCAATTCTGAGGAGCTCAGACTGCAGGAACTGGAGACAGTACCAGGAACTGGAGACAGTACCAGGAACTGGAGACAGTACCAGGAACTGTGTGTGTCTAGTCATTAATTCAGCTGCACTAGTTTAGGTAACCTCTAAATATTGATGAACAATTATTATATTTAATGATTGAACTGGATCTGTACAAAGTAAACCAAGACCCCACCTCCCCCCAGGTCCAAACAGCAGAAGAGCTTTTATTTGTATTGATCATGTCTCTGTGAATGTCCAGGACCCTGCAGACGGTTGGACCCTCACACGCTCGCACCTACACCGTGGCTGTGTATTTCAAAGGAGAGAGAATTGGCTGTGGTAAAGGCCCAAGGTGAGTAATGATGGTACAGTCCAAGACACACACACACTGACACACACACACACGCTCGCTCTCTGTCCCTGGCTCTTTTTTTAGTGCCCCACTAATGGGCTGGAGAATAATGGCGGCGTTTTATTGATGGTGTTTATTATGGCAATTAAGCTCTTGTTGGCCCGGTTCTATCAAGAGACACATTATGTAGAATGAAAACGGATCGATTCATTATTGATCTGACGTAAATTAGGTTATGGAAATATCACTTTGTGAAGAAGACGACGACGAAGATGATGATGAAGAAGAAGAAGAAGCAGACGGAGGTGAAGATGTGAAACTGTGTCTAAGACTTTGTTTACATTGTTACGTTAGCAGCATTAGCTCGTCTTATTTTAAGGATCAGTCCTACCAAAGTGAAGCTAAGCTAACCCTGCTAACACCGTCTTCTCTAGTCCTGGTCAGTGTCGATGGTAGAAACCTCACTGATGTTCACAGGAACAAGTACGAACAAGTACTCTGAACACGAGTACCTGCTACTGCAGTTTTTCTTTTTGTCTTCTGTTTGATGTTCCTCCAAACACTCACGCAGAAATGGAACCGTCCCTTTAACGGATAACGCTTGAATAATAAAATGTTTGTCGCCTTAAGTTTACAGTCTCCTAAAAAGACTGAAGAAGAAACAGGACTGCTTTACTGACACACACACACACACACACCAGGGAACAGTGACTGTCAACAGAGCTGGGAATATTTTTACCTTCAGAAATGTGTGAACAGATTTTCCTGCCATTGTTCTGTAGAAAAGAGGTTTTTTTTTTTGTCACAGCGAGAACGAACGGCTCTGATGATAATCCTCTTAATATTAGGCTTCACTCAGGTTTTATTCACTGACGTTCAGGGGGAAAAGGACAATTTGATTATTCTAACCTTTCGTTATTCTCTCTCTCTCTCTCTTTTTTTATTTTACAAATATTTCTAATCTAGCATCCAGCAGGCAGAGATGGGAGCAGCCATGGATGCACTCGAGAAATGTGAGTTGGTTTTGTTGTTTTTTTTTTAAACACACACCTGTCTTCTTCTGTGCAGTAAACACACACACACATTTTCTCACACGTTCACACTCCAACACCCCGAGCCTGTGTGTTGAACATTAGCCCTGGCGTGTACAGTGTGCGGCGAAGGCTGGCAGCGGGCGGCGGCCGCAGCAGCCGTTTGGCCGCGGCTCACAGGACATTAGGTCGTTTGAAGTGTTTGCCCAGAGCTCAGGCAGGAGGCCCACACACACACACACACACAGGCACAGGCTGAGCGCCCCCACCAGGTCCGTCCGCCCCGAGGGACCGTGGGAGGTGGGCTGTGGTGGAGCAGGAAAGCAGAGCGCCACCGCTGGTCAGTCCTGGTCAGGCGGTGTCAGTGTGCCAGGAACCTGACAGGCTGGAAACATGGCCGCCTGCAGGGGTCTGGAGTTTGAACAGATCTGAGCCACTTCAACAGATTACTCATTAAATAACCTCCATTAAGATCCAGACTCCTCCAGCGACGACCTGGAGAGTTGAACTCCAAAACCAAACTCCACAGAGAAAGTGGTTGATTTTACATCACGTCACACTGAAGGCTCTTCACCCACTGAAGGCTCTTTTAATAATTTAAATGTGTTATTTTCTGACTTGAGTTTATGACGTGATCAGTTAGAGGCAGATCACCGACACAAGTTAACCACACGAGGCAGCAGCCAATCAGAAGCTTCTGTGTCACTGACAGCCTAAAATGGCAGTTTTCTCTATGGACTTTTGAACATGAAATTCACAAAGATTGACTCTTTATATGTCTTACTCTTTCCAACAACATTTTACAACTACAGAAAAAAATAAAATAAAATTTCCACCAACAAAGTCCATAGAGAAAATCCATCATTTTAGCTCACAGGGACAATGGCCCACTGCTGCCTCGTGTGGTCAGTTCCAGTCACCTAGACACATTAATAACATTTATAGCCCAAGTCACAAAACAGTTTGAATAAGTGATGAAGAGACTGAATCAGTTCTGTTTACAGAGATGTGAAAGTTGTTGTTTTTTTCTATGGACTTTGGCACAGGACAGTGGACAGAGTTGTACTTCCTGTCTGTGAAGACATCTCTGGGCAACAGTCGGATGTGAGAGCGGAGTTAACGCGGTGTAGACTTGAACAGGCACTGATTGCAGATGTAATTTCACAGTGAGTGCATGAATAGGTCGGCTCTGCGGAGGAATGTTTGGATGTTTCACCCTCTGACCAACACATTAATCAGACGCTCACTTCTTCCCATTTCTGGGCTAATTAGTCGGAGCGAACACAAATGTCTTTGTGCGAGCGGACCGGCGGCGCGTCGGGGGGGCGAGGGGGGGTCACGAAGGTCGCTCTTTGATTTCATTTGCCTGATAAAGGAAGTGTTGAGGCCGTGGTGATGGATGCTGTTGTGGTGGAACATTAGTGTTGGGCTGATGTTGGAGTCTCCGTCAGAGGTCGGAGGTCACTGCACACCATCTCTGTCTGCGTCTCCAGAGGACAACGCTCCTCCTGCAGCTCCTCTTCTCTCACCCAACTCTTCTGTCACTGTGATTGATAGATGCTCCTCGCTGCTAAATGGATGTTCCCCCCCTTTTGACCCCCCCCTCATAAATTGTGGTTTTGCTGTGACTAGATTAACAATGATGTGGTAAAAGGTCATTTCATTTAAAACCTAGTCTCCCTGTAGAAACATTTTCTTTTTCTTCCCCTCTTCCTCCTCCTCTTCCTCCTCCTTCTCAGTCTTTTCTTCTTCTTTTTCACTGAAGAAACTTCTAGACTGTCTCTGATTTTCTACTGGATCTTAGAAATGAAGAAACACCATTAGGACCTTTAGCACATTAGCATGTTAGCATGTTAGGTTAGCACGTCATTATCTTCAGGCAGTTAGTGATGCATTAGCATGTAGCCTAGGGCCTTAGGGTTTTTCAGTGGAAATTGAGTGTACGTTGAATTAGCATATATTAGCAGTGAGCTAGTACGTAGCATCTGCCCGACCACACATGGTGCGTTCTCTGTGCACCAGCAGGTGTTAATTAGTTTTTAACAATAAAAAAACTGTTGAATTTAATTAAATTTTTATTAGGTTTTTAACTGTTTTGACCAACACTCGTGGATTGTTGTTTTAACAGACGGTCTGTTCTCATTTGTCCAAAGAGCGGACTAATCCGGGACTCGAGACACCCGTTGATTATCTTGTCCACCGTCTCCTCTCTGGTTCTAAAACCGTCCCCACTCCTGGAATCCAACGTCTTCCTTGCTGATCTTGTCAGGATTCATTTCCATGTTTTATTTAAGGCCCGCTCCTCCTCCACCGCCAGGATCGCTTTGAAATCGCACGGAAACTTTTCCGTTTGTGCAGCCGAGGATATTTCTCCTCGGCTGACAGAGCGGTGGATGTCTGCGCTGGAGCTGAGACGCAGCAGTGTTCAGTCAGACAGCTCACAGCTCATTACAGGAGCCCACGGCCCCACGCTCGCTGCTCGCTCTCTGCAGAACCTCATTCACACTTTTATTATTTGATGGCTCCACAGTTTTGACAGTCTCCTGCCTGTTTCTGTCAGAGCAAAATTAAATGTTAACCAAGGCTCAGACCTGGAGAAACATGAGTGCAAACAAATGAAGCTGAGAGCAGCCAGGTACAGAAGGAGCTATCGACCAGAGCAGAGAAGGAGGAGGAGGCAGGAGGAGGCAGGAGGAGGCAGGAAGCTGCGCTGCAGTGTTTGTCTTCAGGCCCTCAGGCTGCAGGAACACGGTACTGTTCAGTCTCAGGGAGCATCAAATATACATGGAAAGGGCTTAAGTATTTCTCCTTCATCGTTGCTGATAGTTCTGCTCTTGTTCAAAGTCTCCAGCTGCTCCTCAAACTCACTCCTCAAGCTGCTCTGCTAACTTTTAGCTGCCGTGCTTCAGAGAACTTTTACTGTTGATGCTTCAGTCTTTAACAGGTCTGTAGTTTCAGCTTCTCCTACACAAACTTTAGCTTCTTTTCTGTGTTTGTGGTGTTTGATGCTAGGCTAACATTTAGTGCAGTTCTAGCTACGCAGCTGTTTCTCCATACACTCATACATAACACTGAAAACCTACTTATCTGAACTACTGTATTTTATGCTAACGTTTAGCTAGTTTACGCAGACACTACACAGTAACATTTTTATGCTAATCCTGAGGAACAGGGTAAATATTTACAAACTAACTTTTAACCTTTGTTGCTGTGTTTATCTCTGGGTGTAAACTTTAAATTCTGCAGATTTTCTCTCCATGTAAACATCTGATTAATTTCACAGAGACTCGTGCTTCTGTCTAAAGTCTAGCCTTCTCTCTCCCTCTCCCTCTCTCTCTCTCTCTCTCTCTCTAAAGCCTGTTTCTCAAACAATGAGGTTTGTGTTGAATAGAGACGGTTCCTCCTTCAGGAGCTGCTTGCTGCAGGGGAGCTTCATTCTTTTCTAAACCTCTTAATCTCAGGATGAGGGCGTTGGGTGGAAGGAGGCAGAGAAAAGTACAGTATTCAGGGGTTTTTATTCGCTGCCTTCAGTCTTTTGTTTGCCCCGTGGCAGAAAATTCTTCAGCTGCTGTGATGAAGGTTCACGGTCGGAGTGTGGACTTGGTTTGTGTTCAAACTGAAGTCAACTCTTAACCAGCAGTTGGTGATGATTTCACCAGTTTGTTTATTCAGAAACACACTGATATGAGAGCGGTCTTGAACTCTGACCTCTGTCTCCATGTCCTCATCCTCCGTCTCCTTGTCTTTGTCCACCCTCGTCCTCAGATAACTTCCCACAGATGGCTCATCAGAAGCGCTTCATCGAGCGGAAATATCGGCAGGAGCTGAAAGAGATGAGACGGGAGCGGGAGCGGCAGGAGATCGGGAGCGACGAGGCGGAGGAATGTCGGAAGTGACGGCAGCAACGGAAGCCCCGTTGTCCAATCGGGAGGACGGGTCTGTCAGGAAATGATTGACATCCAGAACGGAGGTGTGGACAGTACGTTCCCAAAGTTCCACGAGAACCTGAGGAGAACACAGGTGACACTGCAGTTTCTTGTTTAGAACCAGAGGAGGTTCTTTGTTGGACCTTCCTGATCCACATCCAGGACTTTTAAAAACCACAAGTCTGTGTTCATGGCTCAGACAAAGTGAGAGGAAACGGAAGTTTGACTTTGAATGTTAAGTTAAAACTCTTAGAAATAGTTCCTTTTTTATCGTTCTTCTTCTTTGCTAATGTCTTCAGGTCCATCATTCTTCAGGTCAAACTTTGAAGAACCGGTTTGTAGGATTTAGGCCTTGAAAAGTTTTGAACACCATTCAATAACTCCATGAAAGTTTAAAGTTAAAAGTCAGGAATTGACAACTGGCTCATTTTTAAAAACTCCCGCTGCTTCGACCTTTGATCTCTGGGGTGATGGACCAGTGTTGTTGAAAAACCTTGTCAGAAATTTGAAAAGTTTTCAAATCTTTGGATTTTAGCTGTGTTTACCACAGGTGTGGCCACATGACCCAGCACTGACCCCAAAGGTCAACAAGGTGCAGCACTGACCCCGCTGCCAGGTGGGCTTAGTTCTAGTCATCCGGCACCTGGGTGGCAGGTGAACCCAGTCCAAGTAGACGCCCGGACCCGGTAAGTGCTGCCACCTGATGGTTGGTTTCTTGTTGGTAAATTCTACGAATTGGACCTTTAAAATCTTCAAACCCACAACCTCAGCGTGTTTCTGTCGCGTTGCCAAAACAAACCTGCAGAAATGATGTTTTAATCCGAGTGTGAAACGTTAAATAAATATCAACTTAATCCGAGTGTGAAACGTTAAATAAAAATCAACGTAAGATTGTAAATAAATATAAAACCAAATCCTGGTCCTTGTTGAAATCCGTCTTCACAGAACGATATTCCGTCTCCGATGATGTCACCGTTCGTCTCACGTCTCGCCGCTCGTCCTGTAATTATCCAAAATGTCACTCAGTCTTCCTCGGACTCCCATTGGCTGGTGCTCAGATCGTAATTATAGATTGGCTAATTATCATTTTGCTCAGATCAGTCGCCTCTGGATTCAAACAGCCAGTGTTTCAGTAACAGCCAATCAGAGTGAGCGGCTGTTAATGATGAGATCCAGGAGATAGAGCAGGAACCAACTCCAGCGCAGGGAACAGTACCAGGGACTGAATAACAAATAGTTAGAATAATAGTCATAATAATGAGGAGCAGTAGTGGGCTGCACTCTACTGCCCCCACTGGCAGCTACATATTAGGGCTGCGTATTGGCAAGAATCTGTCGATATTATTATTACCTCGTACCTTCGACTGAAATACCACAACTATTTTAGCGCAAATGAAGTTTAATTACAGAAACACGTGTAAAGAGACGACAGAGACGTTGACTTTAAAGATATTTAATTGTCATATAAATATTCAGTACAAAATATCACATGTTACAAAGCAGGTTGACGAGCGGCCCGATCGGATTGGCGGCCCCTGTGTTGCACTACCACGACCTCTGAGAAAACGAGTTTGTCTACGTCCACAAAACTCCATAATAGAAACTGTTCATCACATTGTTCACCAACACCACATACGGCGGCCCAGGCCGAGCGTCTACACATCAACAACCACAGAGCTACTGCATCTGGACCACGAGGGTCGTGAAAAAAAAAAAAAAAAAAAAAAAAGAAAACCCCGGGGAAGGTGGCGCTGTGAAACAACCTCAGGCTCCACCCACAGGACCAGAAATGACAAGGTACAGACCATGTGTCCAGACGTGTTCAGCTTCAACCCTGCATCTTCCTACAGAGGTGCAGCCCACATCGGGTGATATGTGGGCTGCACACTAGATGTTTTTCCTCAAAACGTTTGACTTAAACAGAACCAGAACGCCTCGTCTTTGAGGTGAAACCCCAGACTTCAGGGACTAGTTCTTTCACCTTCTACCAGGTAGAAGTTAGTAGTGGTTAGGGTTAGCTTGGTTACCTAGAGTCAGTCCCAGCAGTCATTGGACGAGGGCGAAAAAAACGAACCTTTATTTACAGTAAATAATTGTTAATTTTCAGTCACATGGCTCCAAATCTTTCCAAATTTTAGCATCGTCTTAACCAGTGCTGAGTCCAAAAAGACACACCTGTCCAGCCCACGTAGGGCGTTACATTCTGTATACCACATGTGGGCCACAAAGACCCCCCACTCATAGCTCAGCGTGGGCCGGTCCCTCTGAGGTTGGACCTCCAGACGTAGTTCTTTCGTAGAGGTAGATCGTTTGTGGTGATTTCAACCCATTTGGTTCTGAATTGGATCATAATCTGAATTCAACCCTAACCACAAATTAATGGTTCCTTCAGTGCAGAGAACGTCCGATGGTTCGGGGTTTTCTTCTGCTCTGGTCATCTGAAGGTCGTGAGGACGCAGATGTTTTTATAAGAAAAGAAAATCTCAGGGTGAAACATTTCTGTAGAGAAGAGAATGTGCAGGGTTGAAGCTCAGGCATAAATCATGTTGAAGATAAAGTGGTTCTGGTCGTGTGTGTGTGTGTGTGTGTGTGTGTGTCCTCCTGTTGCAGGCTAATGCGCTGACCTTCTCTCTGCGAGCCGAGGTTGGGACACACCTCCAGGTCCAGGAAAGTTATTCCACACCGCTCAAAGGTCACATGACTGCCGAGACGCATCTTTATGGAGAAGGCCGTTGGTCCCGGAGGAAATCAGACGAGTAAAGAGTGAGAACTGGGAGCAGCTACACACAGAACAGGTAGGGGGTGCTGTTGAGCAGGTCAGACTGGAGAACACTGGTGTGAAGTTCTGGATGTTTAGTCTTTGTGGTCCTGAAAGTCTGGTCCACTGTCACAGACTCAGGTTTTACCTCCATTTGTATTGACTTGTTTTTTTCCTCTAGCGCCCCCATCAGATACATTTCTATTTTCTCACCATATTTTGTAGAGTCTATGAAACAATAACATTCATCAGATTTGTTTTTGTGTAGAAGGGGGCGCTATTTCTTAGTGTGAGAAGTAAATTTCACACAAAGTCAAAAAGCCGTTCTCTTAGAGAAGAGCTAAGGCTAACGAGCTAAAGCTAACGAGCTAAAGCTAACCAGCTAAAGCTGACAAAACCAGGAAAATAAAATTCCCTGATGAAAGTTAACGATGAATTTTCAAAAAAATATAATAATTTTTTAATCTAATTTGATGCTGCAGTTTCAAGCTGGGTGGCGCTGTTCAGTCTCAGACGTCCAAAGACAGAACCCGTCTTTTCACACCAGTCTTTTCCTTCTGACAAACTCTGCTTCTTCATGATTTAACGACATTCAGACAGAGAATATTTGGTTTTTCCAGCGGCCGCGCAGGAAATGGTGACTTAGAATCAAACACACTGAAGTGATGGAAACCCCAGGGGATTGTGGGTGTTTTTTCCATGACCACAAAAAAGAGGCCCACTGGAGAATGTTAGCCACTTATAAACAGCAGGGGGCGGAATTCTAATTGTACATGCTAGGACACTGATGACTGTTCCAACTGGTGATCTGGTGCGATGGTTTCAGCAGGTGTTCAGAATGTTGTTGTTCTGCTTCTCTTGGTTTGTCGGCTTGGAACACAAAGTGCCAGAAATGGAGGGAAAGTAACTGTACACCCCCCCGACGCCCCCTCTCCCCCCATCGAAAACTTTGAATTTAAAATCTGAACCAAGGCACATCATTCTGCTCTCGGCTAATTGGCTAGATTTGATTGGATCTGGTGGTCAGAGAGGCCGTAGATCGTGGCCCACGTTGACTGTGGACCAAATGTCTGGTGGGGGTGGGGGTGGGTGGGCAGGAGGGGGGAGAAAAACAAACAAAAACTGTACATCAAATGGAACAATGTTGACATAGAAACACAGGCTGAGATAAAATTCCCATGATGCAGCATGTTGTTCCAGAAACACTGAAAAATACATGGGTGTATTTGTTGCCTTACAAAACGCTCGTTGACCGCATCCATCACAGGCAGCGCTGAAAAATTGCCAAAAAAATAATGCGGGTTTAGATATATATATATATATCAGACCTCATGTACATCCCGCACGAACGCACACACGAAAAGTCTGGACGGAAAGTCGTTTTTTTGTTTTTTTTTATTCACTGTGTCCCGGCAAAAAAAAAAAACGCAACTAACACTGACTGGACACACGAAGCCTACGATTGGTCACCGGAGGAGGGCTGACCGGGAGATGATGGCGGGGCAGAAGAGCACGGGAACCAACGGTTCCTCTGTCCGTGTGTCGTCGTCCTCGCCGAACATGCACCGGTGTCAGCGGAAAGTTTCAAAGACCAGGGTCTGGTTAAGAATCCCTGTCGCTGTCGTCTGCGCCGTACATGTCCGCCAGTTTCTTAAACCGCGGCCCCCACTCGCTCAGGTAGTTGTAGTCCTGGTCTCCTTCGGTGGTGACGGACTCCAGCGAGCTCAGCGACTCTGCCACCGAACCGTTCCCTTCGTAAGCGTAGGTGGCCAGCGAGTCGTAAGGTGGTGCCGTCGGGTCGCTGTCGTTGTCCTGGAGCCTGTGGTTGATGAAGTCCCTCACGTCCCCGTTGTTGTCCTTGGTGGGAGGATTGACAGTTCGTCTCAGCGGAGGGTAAAAGGCCTCCGGGACAATGTCCCTACGCTGCTCAACGGCCTCCGGGTTCCTGAGCGTTCCGATGTCAAAGGCCTGCGTGTCCTCCTCTCCGCCGCCCTCGTCGTTGTAGCTGACCACGTTGTCTCTGACGTCCTCTTTGGACATGATGAGAGGCTCCTTCTTCCTCTGTCTCTTCAGGGCCGCGAACAGAACCACGATCACTGCAGGGACAGAAAGACAAGAGGAGGGCGTGAGAACAACAGCGTTTGTTGACATGTCCTGGTGTCGGAGGCCGCACCGCTCCAGAGGGGGGCGCTGACGTCGCAGGGACAGTCAGGGATATTCAAGGACTTTGTCTGACTTTGTAGAAGTGACTCAGACACTTCAAGGAGGGCTGTCGTGTTTTTCTGTCCTCGCTGCCACGGCTTCTTAAGGGATAGAAAAAGTGTTTACTCCAAACTGAAGTGTGGGATAAAGACCCTGGAGAGAAGCTGATCCCACCGCTCTGAGGACGGACTCTCCGTCCTCGCCGCCTGGGAGACGGGGATCGGTGTAAACCTGTGACAAATCAAATCTGAGAAATGACATCAGCAGCTGTACGGCTGCACACGGAGCGCCTCGGGTTCCCACTGGGAACCGTTCTGTTGTTGTAGAACCTTTTTGAGCTAATGCTGAGCTGAACTCATTACTGTTGATGAACCAGAACCCAGCGTTCTGTGTCGGGTCAGGACCAGAGGCTGGACTCTGATGGTGACTGTCACCAGTCTGCCTTTGATGGTTGGTCTTTGTTGTTTTGCAGTTAAAACTGTAGAGTGCCCCCCCTCCCCCTCCCCTCACTGCAGATCTTTGCTGCTTAGATTTAATTATGGTGTCGACAGCGGCCACTGTCAGAATCATCCGCCCACAGGAGGCCGTGAATCAGATTAGAGTGAAGTACACAAGTGTCTCTTTAACACCGGTGCTCGCTCTTCGTGCGCTGTCTCCGCCTGCTGCTGCTGCTGCTGCTGCTGCTGCTGTTTATAAACCTGAAATGTTATTTCCAGGAGACCGATGTTTTAAAGTTAGTACCAGGTCAGTGCTGAGTTTGGTGAAAATTCCAAACTGGGTTTTGGAATTTTCTGCCACTTTGACTGAAATCAGATATGTATTAATTGCAGAGCTACAACAGATAGAACTTTATTAATCCAACGTCACAGGGACAGCAGCAGCTGTTGGTCCAGGTCAGGAGCTCCACTGTCAGTTTCAGTCTGATTAATCTTTACAAATTAATTTGTATGATTTACCTTTTTTAGTTCGACTTGGTGAGTTGAAATTATTGATATTCTCTATGGGTTTTGCTTCAGTGTCTTGTTGTTAAATCTGCATTAACACGATGAAGGTGATGTAGATTATATCACAGTGGATTACATTAGATTAGGATTAGATTAAGCTGGATTACATTAGATTAGGATTAGATTAGGGTTAGATTAAGATCTGGTTCAATTCTCCTTGTTTTATGATAACTCACAGACACAGTTTTGATGTTTAAACAACATTTTTTTTTCTCAACTGCAGATGCATTCTGGGTAGTCCACTCACTGAGTAAGATGACGACACACAGTAAGATGGCCACCAGGGCTCCCGTGCTCAGCCCCGCCCTCGCCGTCAGCGCCTCGGCGTTGCACAGCTTCATGTTCCCGTCCCGGTCGCAGGTGCAGACCTGGACGGTCAGTGTGTTGGTGCTGCTCTGCATGGGGAACTCTCCGTCGGAGATGACCACAGGTACGTGGTACACGCTCTTCTGCAGACTGCTGTAGCTGTTCCTGCGCGTCAGGATCATTAGAGTGAAGTACACAAGTGTCTCTCTAACACCTGAGAGGGGGCGCTCTGCTGCTGCTGCTGCTGCTGCTGCTGCTGCTGCTGCTGCTGTTTATAAAACTGAAATCTTATTTCCAGGAGACCGATGTTTTAAAGTTAGTACCAGGTCAGTGCTGAGTTTAGTGAAAATTCCAAACTGGGTTTTGGAATTTTCTGCCACTTTGACTGAAATCAGATATGTATTAATTGCAGAGCTACAACAGATAGAACTTTATTAATCCAACGTCACAGGGACAGCAGCAGCTGTTGGTCCAGGTCAGGAGCTCCACTGTCAGTTTCAGTCTGATTAATCTTTACAAATTAATTTGTATGATTTACCTTTTTTAGTTCGACTTGGTGAGTTGAAATTATTGATATTCTCTATGGGTTTTGCTTCAGTGTCTTGTTGTTAAATCTGCATTAACACGATGAAGGTGATGTAGATTATATCACAGTGGATTACATTAGATTAGGATTAGATTAAGCTCTGGTTCAATTCTCCTTGTTTTATGATAACTCAGAGACACAGTTTTGATGTTTAAACAACATTTTTTTTTCTCAACTGCAGATGCATTCTGGGTAGTCCACTCACTGAGTAAGATGACGACACACAGTAAGATGGCCACCAGGGCTCCCGTGCTCAGCCCCGCCCTCGCCGTCAGCGCCTCGGCGTTGCACAGCTTCATGTTCCCGTCCCGGTCGCAGGTGCAGACCTGGACGGTCAGTGTGTTGGTGCTGCTCTGCATGGGGAACTCTCCGTCGGAGATGACCACAGGTACGTGGTACACGCTCTTCTGCAGACTGCTGTAGCTGTTCCTGCGTGTCAGGATCCAGGCCGTGTTGTCTACAAAAAAAAAAAGACAAACTGAATGAACAGAACTCTGATTTAAGGTCAGCTCTGAGACCTGGATCTGGATCTGGATCTGGAGGTGGTACCTTTGTTATCACGGACAGAGAAGTTGGCCTTCCCAGCAGCCTCCTGTGCCAGGCTGAAGAAGAACCGATGTCCTCCCAGCGGCTCGTCGGGGTCTGTGGCGCTGATGGTTTGGATCCTCTGGGAAGAGAACCGCAGCACTGATGAGCAACCACTAGAACTCCAGGTAAATGACATGGACTTCCTGATTCTCTGAGGCCCAGCCTCGTCAAACTCACGTGATTGGCCTTCGTGTTCTCGCACACAAACGTCTCGTAGTCGGTGGCGAAGGTTGGAGCGTTGTCGTTGACGTCTAGAACCTTGATGTAAACAGGAACACGGCTGATCTGCTGAGGGTTGTCTGTCAAAAACAGCTAACGGTTAGCCAAAACTGCAATGATGTCAGCTAAAAGTTTCAAAGTTCAACATGTTACGGTCACCGACTGGTTGGTGGAAGAAGATAACTGAAAGTTAGCATCTCCTTTGTTGGAAGATAAAGGTTAGCTGCAGCTCTAAACCTTAGCATCTGTGTCTAACCACAGTCTGTTTCCTGTCGTAGGTTGTCGGTTTGACTCTTCACTCACTGAACTCCGTGGCGGTGACGCTGATGTTGTGCCAGGAGTTCTCCTCTCGGTCCAGGTCTTTGAGGATGAACAAGGAGCCGTTTCCTGCGTGGATGTTAAAGACGCGGTCCATGTCGGTACGACGGTCGATGGAGTATCTGCACACACACACAGAGTTTTGGGTGTTAGTGTGGTTGAAGACGAGCTGGGAAAGTTTCAGGTACGTTTTTTTGGCGTTGATTTAAATATTTTTAGGCTAACTTTTAGCTTCGTTCTCATCTTCAGTTCTTCACCAATGTATTACATGTTTTTCTTGTTTTTACTCCGGAGGAGTTTCTTTATCTATTGTTGCTAAATTACTAATGTTAAGCTAACTGTGCTGTAGCGTTGTTAGCTAACTTTAAATGTTCTTTTCCTGTTTGACATCAGAAAGTTTAGGGAACGTTTAATGTGTTTTTTTTTTTTAAACTTTTCAGTCATATTTCTGCTGAGGTCTGAACCCGACCTCTGACTGTTCCTCCATCAGTTCTTTAGCTTTTTTTTTTACAATAACATGGTCTGTTGTTTTTGTTTAAATTATAGCCTTTTTAGGGCTAATGCATTTTCAGTCTATATTTAGCGCAGCGCTAACAGGTTAGCCAGCAGTGAAGTGTTTTTTTTTCTGCTCAGTGGTCCTTCAGTTTGATTAATGAAGAAGCAGGAA